AATTTAAAAAAAATTATATAATAGGTCTTGTCTCTAGGGTTTCCTTTTTCTATTTAACATTTTAAAATTGAAAAAAAAAATCAGTTATGGCATAATAATCTGCATTTAAAAAAAAAACTCTAGTAATGAACAGATGGTCGGTACCAGTAATAGACATACCTCAGAAGAATTCTAAAATCTTAATTTAACTAAAAAAAAAATAAGGATAAAGTTAGAATAAAAGATAAAGTAAAAAAAAACATAAATGTTCAACTTACTCTTAGGAAAACTGTTAGTAGCATTTCAAAATTTTCTTTTGAGAACTTTGTTCATACAGTTGTCAATAGAGGGCATTGTTTTTCAATCTAGAAAAAACTGGAACCTTTAAATCAACAAGGAAGCTTATTATCTATTTACCTTTAAAGTCCAACATGTTCATTACTAGGGCCCTTGTCCAAAACTGGTGTGTTCACTCTACACCTTTATATGCATTAAAACAGTAAACACTTTTTTAAGCTAGAATTTGCAGTTAACAATTTAAAAAAAAAACGTTTACCTTTAATCTCTTATTGATAAATAGTTTTTTTTTTTTTTCAAGCAGTTAAATATGCACTCATTTGTAATAATAAATCACTGCTTCAGTATATTTAGAAAACATTGTATAATAGGTTTTGTTTGAATTTTGACAAAAGGCGTGTTTTTTTTTTTTTAATTTAAGAAATAATTTCATTGAATTTTGGTTGTTAAATAGAATTTTTTTATGAATCAAGTATCTGTCCGACTATGTTTGAACTAAAGATTTCTCTAGAGCTATTTTTTTTTTTTTTTAATTTTAGATTAAACCATCGGTAATTAAAAGCTAATGAAATATTAGCTAGATATAGTTTTGTTTTTTTGACAGTCAGGTTTAGAAAAAAAAAACAGAGACGAAAGTCCAGAAACCAACACGTGAGAAGGCACAAGTTGATTTCTCCCTGTAGAAAGGAATAGCAGGTTCCGTTTCATCTCGATGTATGTTACTGTCATCAACGCTTTACGGCAAGTTTCTCCAAGGGGATTTCTCCACTGGCCGGTGTGGATGTGGAAGCGAATTCAAATACATATATGACAAACAAAATTAAAAAGAATATAAATAAAATAACAATACTGTTGGTATGTAATAATATACTTAAGTATATGTGTATATTTCCATTTTATTGTATTTTGAGGTTTCTATAGTTAGTTTCTGAAACTCTAATATAAAACATAATTTAGTTTTAGAGTTTTAATTAATTTGAATAATATCTAGTTTTAAAACCACAAACTAGGAGATTTTTATAATTTTTGAAGAATACAATACTTGTGGGTTTATGGTCGACTGTAGTGAATAATTGAAGAGAAGGGTGGTTGGGGTGATCAGCCAAATTGAAATGGTAAAAAATAAATAATTTTATTTATTTTTACATTCGCCGACGTTTCGGCCCGAAGTTCAAGTCTTCACCAGGGCTGGAAAAAGAAACAGATAAAAATAAGTATAATAACATTGAATAATACAGAATTAAGATTAAAAAAGCTGATGGGTATGGATTAATAATTTTTAGTAGAACAACTTAACGTTAAAATTAAGTAGAATGAACACTAAAGTAAAACAAAGTAGGTAGAATGATAACAGTAACAGAGAACTAAGAAATAAATAATAATAACTGTAACAAAGCAAGGCCAATGAAATAAGTATTATAAAATATTAGGTAACATAGAAAATGAAAATGGTGAGCTAGAATAAAGTGTAAAACAGAGAAAAGAAATATGAAGTTATATAAGGAAATAATACATATAAATAGAACATTAAGATATTGCAAAATCTATCAAAAATATAATGTATGAAGAAATGTATCATATATAGAAAATAGAGATGGAGATATGGAAAATAGAGTGACGAAGAAAAGGATTGTTATCTGGTTCTTTGCCGAGCCCTGATAAAGGCCAGAACTTCGGGCCGAAACGTCGGCGAATGTAAAAATAAATAATATTATTTATTTTTTACCATTTCAATTTGACTGATCACCCCACCCATCCTACTCTTCAATATAATATTAAACTTATATTTTTAGATTACATATAAACAATATTTTGAAACAATGGAATAAGAGGCACAGCATATGTGCATTTAAGTAGTTATAAGATATGTTGGTTGCAATGCTAAAAAACTAAAAAAAAAAATAAACGATTAATGAAAACACGGAATATAATATTGTTAAAATGCTATGATATCAGTAAATGACTATTTTCAAACAAATTGAACTATTTTTCAAATTGAGTATTATATGAAAAAAAAACACATTTTTATGGTTATATTTTATTAAAAATTCGTTAAACAATAATATCTCGTGGTACCCATTTTATAAAATTATTAACATCTAAAACTTTGTAAATAGCTTCATCTCATCGTAAACTACAAATAATTTATTTGCGAAAATTCTCGATATTGGGGAGTTTTCAATCTGGAGGTCGGCAAACTTTGTCTATTTAATTGGGTAGTAAAAACTCATGAATACCCATTTGCTTTCCACTTGAATCGTAAGATAATATGAACGCAAAATCAGAAAAAAAAAAATGTCCTACAAAAATATTGGACCGTTTGACCTATATAACCTCATTATTTTAACATTTTGGGGGTGGAGCTCATGGCAAACGGACCAATATTTTTGTAGACCACTTTTTTTTTATCGATTTTTCGATCACATTATCTTATGATTCAAGCGGAAAACAAATGAGTATTTACGTGTGTTTAGTACCAAATTAAATATACAAAGTTTGCCGATGTCCGTATGGAAAAAGCTCCAAATCTGTGAACTTTCTCAAATGAAATATTTGTATATTACGTTGTGATGAAGCTATTTATAAAGTTTTAGGCCGATGTTATTAATTTCATGAAAAGGCGTCTGTACCAAGGACTATAAAAGACCACGTAAAGAAGTTCCCGTTGATATTTCACTATTAATATAATATATTGTCATGGTGATAGCTAGTACAGGTTATGTCAAGTGGCAAAAATGGTGCCCACGGATTTAGGTTTGGAGAACACAGCATTAGGCAATAGAGTACCGCCGACGTAGATGCTTTACCAAAAAAAAAAAAAAAAAAAAAAAAAAAACAGTCTTGCAAATAGCTGTTGAAAACTAACAGGTCACGTCTCACCAATTTAGGCATAACCAGAATAGAAAACCACAAAATCACATTAGTACATACAAGAGACATGATATCCCGTTTCAACAGCCGATTATATTTCTACGAATGAACTAACCATAATACCACTCGTGGATAGATCAGAATATATTTTATTTGTTGTAATTAAAAAAACATATATATATTTCATGAAGTATTAATGAAGCCCAAATATAATATTCTGTACATGATGTAATATAATATCTGTACATAACATGAAAGATTAAATGAACTGTCCAATAAAAATTAAAATTAAAGAGAAACACGCCAGAATTTTTGTATTACAATTACAATACAGTGTCTTACTACACGCACCTTCAAATCGACTTGAAGAAGTTGTGGCATGGAAATCATTTGGTTTCCAGATTCCAAACCTTACTATTTGGGTCAATTTGGAAGGTGAAGGTAGTTGAGTTGAGATCTTTTCCTCTAACCTTGCTGTTATATTGGACTGGTTCGTCAACGATCGGAATATTTGGAAACGAGGACGCTGTCAATTATTATTATCCTATAGAGGTCTCCAAATCGTTCTGAATTCAAAGAACCAACGATATAGAAGCGATACATGGAATTATAACAACAATTAAGTTCAGGAGTTCTCATCCCACTCCTCAAGGTTGATGGGCCATGCCCTCCTCCTTTCAAGAAATTTTATTGCTATCCTCTTCTTAAAAACAATGCAAGCTAAATTAGAATTAGAAAATTTACCTGCAAATTGAAACTCCAGAAAAATATGTTCACTCCAAAAACTCATGACCTTAATTCCTTACGAAGAAGGGTAATTGAATCTTTTTAAATAACAACACATATCCATTGCCGGTCTGCTACTACTGCTGTTGATGAAAGATGCTGAGCCTATCTTAATTCTCAAGGAAATCACGTTGAAAAACATTTGATATGAATGTTAATGTTTATATTTCATTATTAGATAGATAGATAGAAAAAAAAAAACACTTTATTCTGGGACTAAGTCCCTTCAGAACAACAATAATGTACAAAATAATAGAATATTACTGGCCTAAACGTTTGAAACAATAAATAAAATAAAATAAAAATAAAGAAAACCTTAGGTGCACAAGCTATATACAATACAGATAAAACTATGTACAGAGCATTTAAAATTATGAACAAAACAATAAAAACTATGAACGAGTCACTTGAACTATGAACAAAACTATATATAAGGGTTGAACAACATAATCATAAACTTTGAGAAATGAAGAACGAAAAAGAGATAGAATGAGTTCATTTCATAAAAAAAAAAAAAAACTCTACTTGAATATATATATAAAAATAAACAGTTAATATAAAAGTAGTTAGAACAAATAAATAGTTTTTATTTATTTCATTTAACGTAAATAATTCGTAACAACGAAAGTCTTTAAGTGTTAATATCTCCTAAACCAAGCGTTTAGGGGGGCATACCTTCAGAGGAAATTTTTTTCTTGTTTTGAGGTCCTTAGTTCATTTTCGCAGCTTGGCCACTTAACCCTGAAAACATACTTACATATATTTTAATAAAGATTTTGAATATTTGTTTTTCTAGTACAGAATAAATCTATTGGATCATAAATATTTCTCGGGATAAAGCCATTCATTAAAAAAAATATAGATCTTAAGCGGTATTTTGACAGAGAAATGTTTTTTTTTTTTTTTTTTTTATGTGATTTTTAATCAAATATTAGTTTCTGGCGGATATAAAGGATTAACTGTTGGGAAATGACCGAATAATGCTAACTCAATTTGAGTTGAAACGATAAAAAATAGAATAATATACCTCAATTTCAGTGTTGTTGTTTTTTTAATAAGTTTCTATATCACCTCAATACGGTACTATTTTTCTCTCCTTTGTTGTCATCAATCCCGGATGGATACCTCCAATAATAATAGGAACAGAATGATAATAGTTAGTAAAGGATATAAATCAAAAATGGTAAATTAACGTAGGTTCCATATACCTTGAATCATCACCGGCAGGCTTATTACAATATTGCTGAGTAATTTCTGGTTGTACGCAAACGTTCGTCATGATAAACTACTTGACTATGACATTAATTTTTTTGTTGAGGTAAAAGCCTAGTGAATGTTTGCTGTGAAGGACTTCGCATTATTATATTGATTTACTAACTTAATATTTCGTAAATCAAGGCTTAGGTATAGAGAAACCGGAAAACAAAATCCCAAAATTAATGCATGAAGATGTAAATACGAAATATTTCAGTTTAATGATATTCCTGAAAAATAGTATGCCTACATATAATATGCATTGAAATATTTCATTATAATGTATCTTTCATATTATAATATACATACAAAGTATATCCATATTATGTTATTTTTAAACTTTTATTTTATTTTACTACTTTTTCATCACATTAATCTTTATTATTATTTTTAAATTTATTTATTTTTTATATATTAATTCTCTTTATATTATTTTTTTCTTTATTTAAATATTTATATTTATGTACATTTTTTATGTGAATATATGAATGAATACTTGTAGCCGAGTTTCTAATTGCCCTTCAATGTGGTAGATGATATTATTACTCAATAAATTGGTTTAAAATATTATATATTATATCCGATATTCTATAGATATTTTATTGGTAAATCATAGTACATATCTCCCAAACCATATCCGATATCCTTCTGCAATTCATTGATGAATTAAAACTTTTGATAAATTTTCGATGGAGCTTGTTTGGAAAAAAAAATTTAAAATAAAAGTTAAAAAAAATATATTTCAGAGTAAATTTCTGACTATTATTTATTTAGATACTTAAAAAAGGTCACGTATAATGAGAAATAAGAAGATATTTGAGCAAAAAAACTAAAACATTGCCATTTATATAAAATTTACTTATAACAATTACAAATAAAAGTATAATCATTATTAAAATAAATTCTAATTTTAATCGTCGAGGTAAAAAATGGAGGTTTACTAATTCTATGTTTGGATACACTATGTTGATAATATTATATTGGATATACGAGACATGTTTCTCTGATGTCACTTAATAATACAAATAATGTTTTATTTTCATAAATGATAAATATCATCTCTAAAAACTAATAACAAAACATTGAGACTTCGATTACTTAACCGTCAGCCAGAGTCAGTTACCGACATTGATATACTCACATACGATATATATATATATACATAGTGAAATAAAATCAATATTATTAAAATAAAATACTCCGTGATACAGCAAACAAAATATTTTACTCCCAACTACAAAATTATTAACACATCACAAAGTTCTTTGTCTACCTATTATTTCCATAAATCTCATACTTTATCAACTATAATTAAACTCCCTAACCAATCTCTCTATAATACCAGGCCAATTGAAAATATTTTAATTAAGGCAGGAATGCTTTTACCATTTAATTGTTCAATTACTTCTTCCATAGACAGTATTTCTTTATGAAAACTTTTTTATTTATTTATTTATTAACTCCCTCAATATTGTATTTTGGATGGTTTATACTAGTACATCTTTAATTTTACATAATTTATTTTTTAATTCTGATATATTTTCAAATTTTATGTTCATACACATATTTTTAATGCTGTCATTTATACACCGAATGCATTATGAAGAAAAATATCTATCTGATGTCCCCGCAAGGGAACGCTAGTTTTTACAAATTTTTAAACCACTACAAGATAATCGAAATTTATAAACTGACCGACTGAAGAGGACGATGTACTAACCTTGCATTGATCCCACACAATAACTAGTTCAAGGTCGAATTTTGTATATCTTTGGAGAGAGAAAGAAATCGAAAAAATAAAGTTGCAGTTATCATCGATGAGATAAGTGTGAGATTGCATAATCATCATATCAGAAGAATCATAAAGAAAAAAAAAACGAGATAATAATTGTACAGTATTCTCACTGATATAAAAGAAAAGGTAAAGGAACAACATGCTCCTTAATGATATCAGAATCGGTATTTCTGTTAACGGATTCGTAGAATAACTTTTCCAATTTTTTAAAGATTTATTTTTTAATTAACAGTTTCGTTATCTTATCATCATTACGTGAAATAATTTTTAATATCCCATTTGTAGGCAACATTCTTCACTCAAGTCCTGAGCGTCTGTTGCTCTAGTGCCCTCCATCAGTCTCCACTGGCTTACAATACCAGTGACGCGGCTAGGAGAGAAGCACTGGGATCTCCTGGAGTCCTGCTTTGGCTTCCACAATTAGGGGGACAAAGCTTGATTCAGAGTCCCCTGGACCAATGTAAATAGTCTACATAGATGTGAATGTGTTTTAATTATTTTATTATCATTCCGCTTTAATGTGTTATTTTACTTATCTTGTATATTACTTTATCTTTATATATATATATAAATATATATATATATATATTTCCTACCTTATTGACAGATACTTCAAAGTCAATCATAACAATGCTTATTCATCTCTTTTTACTCAGTCTGCCGGTGTTCCTCAAGGTAGTATCCTAGGTCCTATCCTTTACACAGTTTATACAGCTGACATCCCAACCCAATCCAACACTGTCATCACCACCTATGCCGATGACACGTGTATCCTATCAGTTAATAACGGTCCATCTATTGCATCCCAAACTCTTCAATCACACATCACAAACCATGAAAAATGGTGTCAAAACTGGAGGATTAAAATAAATTCCAATAAATCCCATCAAATAACCTTCACTCTTCGTAGTAAACCTATGACTTCCTGTCCTACAGTATCCTTCAACAATAGCCCTCTTATCCCTGTCGAACAAATCCGATACTTAGGACTCCACCTTGACAAACGACTCACTTGGAACCCCCATACCAGACTGAAACGACTAGAAACCGCTCGATGCTTCCGATTACTTCAGCATTTACTAGACAAACGCTCTAAACTTCCAGCTAATTACAAAAGACTCATATTCATGACTATAATAAGGCCTATTTGGACTTACTAAGTTGAGCTATAGGGCTCCACTAAACCATCGAATTCCTCTCGTATCCAATCCTTACAATCCAAAATCCTTCGTAAAATCCTCAACGCTCCCTACTTTGTTACAAATAAAATCATCCCCAATGACCTTAATGGTTCTTATGTTTCAGATCTGGCCCAATCCAGATACCTATCCTTCCATAATAAACTTCAAAATCATTCCAAACCTCTCGTTTCTAACCTTACTTCCTCTTCAATTCCTGATAAACCTCCGAGGCGTCTGAAAAGAAGATGGCCTTGTGATCTCCTAATGTAGACATATCATTAGAGTGCTACCATTGGGTAATTTCTCAACTAGTGGTTTGACGTCATTATATCCATATGTTCAAATTTACTAAATGTATTTCATTAATACAGTAGTAAATAACATTAAGAAATAAAAAAAATTATTATAAATAAAATAACAGTTTTGGTATCTTATCATCATTACGTGAAATATATTTTTTTTAAAAGCAGTTAGTTCAGATGTGATTTAATTGATTTTAGAATAACTTCAATTCCTATCCTTCTCCATAATGTATTCGATTGATATTAGCGATATCAGTGAGAGATTTGTTTATAAAATATAATATTATCAAGACAGTCTATTCCAACACACACAGAGATGGAGCTTCATATTTTTCGACTTTTAAATTAACAATCTGCTTAGAAAGTGATTTGCTGTTACATTGAAAAATATCACACTAGTTTAATAGTTAAGCAATAAGACGCAGTTATTTCTGAACTTTTATTAATCCTAGACAAAAACGTTTTTCAAATTTTACGACTTTGAAGAGACATTTTTTTCCAGTCATAAGATAAGATTTCTTAAAAATAATTGTTCATAAGATTAAAAACATTTATAAAAATAGGAAATATATATAAAAACTAAACATATATATATATATAATATATAACTAAATATATATATATATATATATATATATATATATATATATATATAATATATATATATGTTTAGTTTTTCATCACATAAATCATTATGGGTTGCACTTGGGCTCTTAAGCTTTTCACGATTCTTCTGGGTTTTTTAATTTGTGTTTCACTATATATTCCATATTTTCGTTCAGAAATAATGAGAATGCCTTAATTGGACTAGAAGCGTTCCCCTCCCTGGGATTTGAATTTGATGAACAATAATACGCGGTGTTGTTCGAGCCTCCTTTTTTTTTTTTTTTTCGGTAACGCAGAAGAGCAACGATGCCCATTTTTAACCCTTAGTGACTGTTTTTTCCGTACAATAATGTATTTATTTCTATCATCCAGCAGTTTTAGATCTGGACTAACAGCTATTTCAGGTATATGTTTATGTATTTATTAGAGTTTTAAAGACATTTCTGATCAAAATGTTTTCTGTTTTTCTAAAAAAAGTTCTAAACACAGCTTAACAATCCTTATAAATTGCTATAAAATTGATTTATGCTATAAAATCATATGGTATTTAAATAATAAATAAATGTTCGTATGTATATTTTTCAATCAAAATTTATTAATTTAATCTTTGATTTTTATATTTTTTATTATTCTTCATTTTCCGACTATTTTTAATATTTGATTGGATCTCTGAGGGATATTGTTTTGTTTTTTTAATTGTATCTTTAGTAGTCCCCACTTGTAATCTCGTAATTCCTGTTTCTTTTCAATTCGATTCACTTTATAAAATAAATAAATAATGGTACAATTAGGTAAACAGAAAAGTCCGTCAACCTTACCCTTTTCAGTTCAGTACAGGTTTTAAAGTAATTTCGCACTCTAAATTCGAAACACAGCAACGTTTGGAAACACTTGAAACAATTGACGGTTCAACAAAATGAAAATGAACGAATACGAGTGCAAAAAAAATATCTGGCCTATGAATCAATGTATCGAGCGAGCTGGGGAATTCCCCATTATTAATTTCATGCAAGACAAACAACATATAATCAGTGCACCCAACCTTAACAATGGAATTGCTTGTTAATTTGGAATGCATTTTAAAATTAAATTAAAACATTGTCGGACCGTCAAGACTTTACCCATATGTATCTGCAGATGCAATTTTGTTTATTATAATGGGAAAAAAACATCGCTTCTTTGGATAATCCAAAGGTATAAAATTCTCTCTCGTTTGGTAGGTTTTGTGTGGAGCCTCATGTTATGTATTTAATTATTTGTTTTATCAGTATTTATTTTGACACAATACCACTAACATTTTCTCCGTTGAATCTATGAGCTTACTTATGGTTAGTGTATGATTAGGTTAGTTCTTTTGTTTATATACATTTATTTTATTTTATTGTATTTATAACTTATTTTTTTTCTTTATTCTCATATGGACATAATGCAATTCTCTGACCTCAATTAGGTCTTTAAACAATTAGGTCACCTAATGAAGAAAGTCATTTTTGTTTATTATTTATTTTGGGGTTAAACAGCGTTAAAGGTTAATTTGCTTTTGTCTCTCCTAAAAAGTGATAATTAAGTATAAATACTCATTTTTTTGTGTAGCAAAAGTGTTTTTTGAAGACAACAGAGCTGAAGACAAAAAACGAAACAAAGGTTGAGCGGATTTCACCGCCAACGATGGTGGAACGGTCACAACACGAGGAGGTAAGCAATATGAACTTAGCAAATAGTGATACAAACACTGATGTTGGCTCCTGGGAGCTAGTTATTGGTCGTAAAAGACCTATGTCAGATTCAAGCGAGCCAAGAGCACAAAAACGACCAGCAGAACCTATTCCAACCTCTAACAGTTTTGAGGTTCTAACCAAGATGAACTCACGAACTGAAGAAACAAGACAACCGCCTCAAAATGATAAAACTCCACCAATTTTTATAAACGGTGTGGAGAATTATCATGCTTTAATTTCATTCTTAGAAAATGAAGCTGGCCCTAATACATTTAAGACAAAATCAACATTAAAAGGTGTCACTGTTTACCCACAAACACCTGATATATATCGCAAATTAAATTCAAGTCTACGAAATAAAGGCGCGGACTTTCACACCTACCAACTCCCACAGGACAGATGCCCAAGAATTGTTGTTAAATATCTCCATCATGGAACACCAGTCGAGATAATCAGAGAAGAATTTAAAAATATGGGCTATGAAGTAACAAATGTGGTAAACGTAATATCTCGATTTAAAAAACCTCTCCTATGTTTTTCGTAGACGTTACAAAAGAGACATTCAGAGAAGACATTTTTAAAATTGAGTTTTTATATTACTCTCACATTAAAATCGAAGAACCACGTCAGAAGCGAAGTATTCCTCAGTGTGTTCGGTGTCAGCAATATGGGCACACTAAAACATATTGCAATCATCGACCACGCTGCGTGAAGTGCGGAACGAATATCACGAAAGCAGCTCATGTTTAAAACTAGAGAGACTCCCGCTAAGTGCGCCAATTGCAGTGGTCAGCACCCGGCTAACTACAGAGGCTGCCAGACGCTGAAAGATCTCAGGGTTCAGCGCAATGTGAGAAACCGTCTTCAGCGTCCCACAGTAGCAGAGCCAGCACAGGGACCTCCAGGCATCCATGAATTCCCTCCAATACGGCAGCGGAACAACCAAGCGGAACCACAGAACATCGCTGGACCTCAGCAGCAACATAATCAACCATCATCGAACTCAGCACCCCAGAACCAAAAAACATGTACAGGTATGAGGGGAGGCATTACCCAGACGGTACCTCCGGTAGATAATAGCTCTTCCCAGTTATTTAATATCATTAATGGGTTAAATAACTTAATCCAGCCCCTTTTCATTCTTCTTCAACAGCTATCACAGTTTACACAGGTCTGGTGCCCTAATTATGTCCCACAATAATTTAACTGTGGATTCTCTGTCAATTCTTTTGTGGAATGCCAACGGACTGACCCAACACAGTACTGAACTTGACTTATACTTGCACGAAAAACGGATTGACCTAGCACTCATTACTGAAACACACCTGACACCTCGATCAAAAATTTACATCCAGGATTACTCTATTTATAGAACTGATCATCCAGACAAAACTGCACATGGAGGAACAGCGATACTCGTAAAAAAATCACTAAAACACAATCCCATAGACTTACCCATTACACCCGACATACAATCAACAGGAATAACATTATACACTAAACACTACACTATAACATTTGCCTCAGTTTACTGTCCCCCTAGGTACAAGCTTACACCCACGATGTTTTCTGAGTTCTTCAAACGTCTCGGAAGATGCTTCATCGCAGGTGGAGACTATAATGCTAAGCATCAAGGCTGGGGTTCAAGGTTGTCTACTCCAAGAGGCAGAAATCTCTGGTCTGTTCTCCATGAACTTTCATTAGACACTGTAACTCCAAATTCACCCACTTATTGGCCCACCTCCAGACGCAAAACTCCCGACTTACTTGACTTCTTTATTACAAAAGGACTTAGAACCGTACCTTTTGCCGTCAATACAAGCTCTGATCTTTGCTCTGATCACTCCTCGGTGCACATGGTTCTCTTCGACGCGCCTTCTGAAGCACAAAAGAGACCTAAGCTCATAACAGGTTGCATGGACTGGGACGCATATAGAGACCATTTGAACACCAATATTTCTGTTCCAGGTTCAATTAAAAATCAAGAGGAACTAGAAGAAGCCGTCGAAACTTTTACAAAAAGTATACAAGATGCAGCATGGTCCTCATCAACATCTAGGTCACAAAGAGCAGTGAACTTGCCCCAGTATCCTATGTACATAAGGGACTTAATCAGGGCAAAGAGAAGAGCTCGTAAAGTATGGCAGACTAATAGACTTCCTTCAGACAAACAAACTTTTAACAGATTGAACAACGAACTTAAAAGACATATTCAAAAATTCAAAAGCACTAACTACGACAATTTTATTAACAACCTTTCGACAGACGATGGAAGTTTATGGAGACACACAAGGAATCTTTTAAAGCATCGTGAGGTGTCAGCACCCCTACGAAGAGAGGATGGTTCTTGGGCTGTTTCGGACGAAGAAAGATCTGAACTCTTTGCTACTCATCTTTCCTCTGTTTTTAAATCACATACTGACTTCGTTAATACAGAACATGATATTTTCGTACAAAATAACTTAGACATACCATTACAGCTCACACTACCACCACCTCCTTTCACACCATCACAAGTTGCACAAGAAATTAGACAATTACCGAAAAGAAAAACCCCTGGTCATGACTTGATAAATGCTGAGGCGCTCCAGCAAATGCCAAGGAAAGCTCTAGTGTTTCTCACCACAATCTTCAATTGCATTCTTAGGACCACAAAATTTCCAATACAATGGAAATACTCTCATATAACCATGATTAAAAAGCCAGATAAAGAAACTAACAATCCTTCTTCATATAGACCGATTAGTTTGCTTCCAGTGTGTTCTAAATTATTTGAAAAACTATTATACTCACGACTATTACATATACTAACAGACAAACAGATTATTCCTGACCATCAATTCGGGTTTCGAAAATTACATTCAACAACACAACAATTACACAGGGTAACTGACTACATATCGACAGCACTAGAGCGAAAACTATATGCAACCGGAGTATTTCTGGATGTCGCCCAAGCTTTCGACAAAGTATGGCATCAGGGGCTTCTCTTCAAACTCAACACCATACTTCCACCAACTACTTAATTCTTCACTCCTTTCTCTCAGACAGATTTTTCTCCGTTCGGCATGGTTCAGGTCTGTCCTCAATTCGACCTATCTTAGCTGGCGTACCTCAGGGGTCAATCTTAGCCCCACTACTGTACATAACATACACACATGACATTCCTCAAAGTATCCACACACTTACAGCAACCTACGCAGACGACACTGCTATCATTACTAGACACGATAATCCTACACAGGCATCACTTAACCTACAACATCACTTACAAAAAATTAACGATTGGTGTAAACTATGGAAAACTCAAATAAATTATCAAAAGTCACAACACATTACATTTACTCTAAGACTAGAAACATGCCCTGCTGTATACTTAAACAACATACCGATTCCACAAACAGATAGAGTACAATACCTAGGCCTGACGTTTGACAGAAGAATGACATGGGGTCCACATGTAAAGAAAAAACGTGCATCACTAAATCACAGATTAAAACTATTGCATTCATTATTAAGACGGCATTCGAAATTAAAAGCAAGACAGAAATTAAATATTTATACATATCTATTAAAACCTCTCTGGACTTACGGACTACAAATATATGGAATTGCAAAACCAACACACATAAAACGACTTCAAACTTTTCAGTCTAAGATACTACGACTAATTACCCAAGCACCCTGGTACGTGAATAATAACACTTTACATACTGACTTACACATGCCAACGATCAATGAACACATACGAACTTACTACAAACGATTCCATAATAAATTACATGGACACTCCAACCAGCTAATTAATGAAATGGCCACGACTATTATGCCGGAGAACTCCAGAAGACGACTGAAAAGGGTCTGGATGAGGGACCTACTTACGTAATTGTATGTAAGTAAGTAAAAGCCATGGAAAGGATGCCGCTGGGTATTGCTTTTCCTCATGCCTATCAAGCCATTTTATTTATTTATTTTTTTTTTTATTATTATTTTTTTTTTTTTTTTTCTCATGACTCTGCCAGCACATCTGCTGATTGTCAATAGTTATAATTGACAGGTGCGGATAAATATATGTAAGTGCAAAAAAAAAAAAAAAATTTATTTTGGTGTACTTCAAATGACTGCAATCCCCAAAGCAACTTCTCTTCAACAATATTTTTACTATTTGTAATATATTATTTAACCAAATTGGATGCCTATAATGAAGAGACATATAAGAACGGATTTATTGTCCACATAGCACATGATTCCACATACAAATCTTATTTCATATTTAATTAAATACATTACGTTATTTTATAATAGGTATGAGCTTACTCTATCCGATTAAACTATGTTCATTTTTGTTCCTTACAATGTTTTTACGCTTTGTATCATTTTTCTAGCAGTGCCCCAACATTGGAGCCAAGCATCTTTCATTAGGTTGGCAGTAAACGTAGGCCAAGCTGTGGCGATACTCCCGGTGACGTCCGGTAGCCATCTTATAAACTTCCCATCGGTAGAATAGCCATTCCTCTTGTTAGCGTCCCCTAAGGTAGCCAACAAGAAGAACTTCTCAATACCGCAGGTCTCCTCCCATTTCTTGATGCAGAACAAAGCCGACACTTGGACACCAGGCCTAGGGTCGCCCACAGCCTGAAGTAGGGGAGGGAAGAATGTTTTGATATATTGTTCCGAAGATGGGCCCATCGAGGTAACCAGTGATTCGATCAGGAATATCGCTGTCAGTGAAATCTCTAAGCTGCAATCAGAAATCCGCTCGGCAATGATCGACGCCGCTTGTTCCAGAGAAGGAGATTTGCAGTCGATAGGATAAGGAGTAGAATTGACGAGGAATTGTATCCTTTCCAAAGACAGTCTCCGCAAGTTGAGGTCCTTATCGCGTAAGTTACGAATGATTCCATTAGAGATGAGCAGTTCTATTTTATTCTGATAGTATTCTTGATGGCATTGAACATTAGTCGGCATTTTACCCAATTCAACATTGTATTTTCGATACAGGTTCTTTAACAATTGGTCTTTGACGTCGTTTCCTGTAGTTCTCAGCCTGAAATCTTGCTTTATCCTCGATTTAATCTTTTCAGTTATTTCTATATCTGTACACCCGTCAGTATCACAAGGGTGGATGTAATCTTCCCAGCTAGGATAATTTAATAGAAGGATATCCATATTTTCGTTGTCATACTCCCAGAAACTTTTGGATTCCATTATTTCATCTGTTTCTCGGTAATTTTTTCCATTGAATTCCTCGTTTTTTTCTTTGGTGTAGTTGAAATCTCCTTTGTAGAATGTGGAGATTGCATTATCCTCTTTTACTTCTTCGTCAACTTTAGTCAAGTCTTGGATTTCTTCCTCTTTTTCTAAATAATTGCATTTTAAACGAGTGTATTCTAAGCAACAATCATCTTCGATGCTACTCGATTCTGGATCACTATCAATATATTCCTCTTCAGAATCACTTAAACTGTATTCATTCGTTTCATCATATTCATCCTGAATAGAAACAGAGTCCTCTTCATTTTTATTATTAAGGATTAAATCTTTGCGTGTGTCTGAATGGGTATCTTCCTCATCAGGCAGTGTTATACTTTCAGCGAATTTTTGTATTTTTGTCATCATGAATTGTTTTACATGACCTAGGTGGGGCTCCATCGACTTTTTATCGACCATTCGCATTACGGTCCCCAAAGCTTCAATAGCACTTCGCCGGATATTGAAGTATTTACTGTCCAGATCCATAGTCAAGCAACTATAGTACGTCTTCATGCAGTCTTTTGTCAAATACAATTTCGATTTCGAGAAACATCTGATCAAAAACATATTGATTTCTATCTTAACTGAAGGATTCCAATTTTTGGTATATATCGAACTTACTGTGGTTTGAAGTTTTTCAAGATTTGTACAATCGAATATCGAGTCAATACACTCTCGGACGTAACTTGTTAGATCTCTTTGTTTCACTTCGAATTTCCGAAACAGAAGGGGCATTGACATCTGTACGTACGGCTCGAAATCGTTCTTCAATGCTTTAGCGCAGAATGTAACACATTTCACAGAAGTACAGTTGACATCTAATGGGAAATCTTTATTAGCCAAATACATTAACAATGAATCAATCCAAATCGAGCAATTATTTTCTTCCATAAGTTTGTGTAGGATATTTTGAATATAATAATCCAGCTCATACCATTTTTCGAAACTGTTCTCTTGTACGTAGAATTTCTTTTTGAATTTCTCTAGAAGGTTGAAAGGGTTTTGTATGTAAGGTACGATCGTATTCTGTTTTATTCTGGTTGTTGTGTGAAATTCGTCTGAAGGGCTGATACTCGATTGTGTTATGATAAAAGAAGCATTTTCAATTTGGAACTTATTAAAATCATGGCCACTTAAGCGTATATCTCTTTCGAATATTTGTGTCCTTGTGATATCTCGATATTCAATGACAGTATAAGGATCAGAATCTTCACTAGGCAATAACTGCTCTGAATTTAAGTTTAAAATTGCATTACAGTTGACCTGGCTGGCATTTTCAGCATTGGCCACATCAACATTAACGTTTTGCAAACTCTCGAGCGAATTATCTGGAACTATGTCGTTATGTTTTTCCACTGGCGTAACCTGCTCTGAGGGTAATACTTTATTTATGGAATTCAATATTTCTGGCGTTGCCCATATTGTCAAATGCTTCAATAATTTCTCCACTTCTTTCCTTACGCCCTTACTTTTGTCATTTAATAGAGATGCTAGAACCGATATCAAACGTTTAAGTTCCAACGCAGTAATACCGAACTGTTTTATTCCTTCACCGATCAGGTATAGGCAAATTTTGGCTCTCTTCTCATCACCAGACTGCTGTATGATATCTGTAAGTTTTCTGTTTACGATATGCTGTTGACCGATTTTGATATAACAGAAAATAATATCAACTGCTAAGGTAAAAATGCAACTCTGATTTGTGTCAAAGCAAGTATTGGCGATACCTCCTACAACATCCTTTGCCGTCCTAGCAGCCTGGCCACACTTTTTAACAAATATTAAAACAGCTAAAAGTCCTTTAACAAGGCACTGTGGATTCTGATCCATAACGAAATTCTTCACAATATCTAAAAAACTGTTCCATTTTTGAGAGTTCTTATCTTCGATCTGGAGAAATATTTCAAATGCTTTTTGATAACCCAGCAGTCTTACCTTCCAATCATCGTGGCAACAGGCAGATTCCACCGACAGATCATAAAATTGCATTTGCAATTCCATTGATAATTTTAACTTAAGTCTCGAAGATATTCTATACTAATTTATAAATCGGTATCATGTGATTAATATTTTGTTTACTAATAGTAGTGATTTGAAACAAATGATTTATTTTACTATAATTATAAATATGCTAAGATTTGAACTATTTGCTTAAGGGAGGTCATTTGAGTGCGCATGCAGCCTTCAGTTATTGGACTAACAAACATCTGACGAATTAGTGCACGTGATTGAATTTAAAACAGATCAAAATGAAAACAAAATTCAAGATTACAAATTACGCAAGGTTCGAGCATAATAATAATGACTATTATATGATTAAATGTAAGATGAAAACATCATTCTTGATCTAGTTAAAGTACGAAGAGTAAATCTTAATAAGCAACACGTAAATATAATGCAGACACTAATGACTAGTATTTTATTTATTTATTCTTCTCTGACTTTCCGACACTGGTTTTGCAGGGATGGTATGTTTTCCAAATATTTGTATACTATCCCTGCAATGAAACATACAATTTACATTTTAATTTTTAAATTCAAAAATATTCTTCTCTCCTTAGGGTCTTCAAATAAAAGATAGTTTCATCATTCTGGAGTTGGTCCTCTTCTTTCCAATATACTCAAAATTTTCGTAATACATCACATAGTTTTGCTCCGTCACTATGTGAGGAAAATCTTTTTCTATGAGGACATATATACCGGTTTTCCTCATCATACTGGCCCTTAGATCATTAAAGGCGATGCAGTTGACTATGACGTGCTCAGCCGTCTCCTGTACTCCACACCTAAGGCAAGGGGGATCTATGACTTTTTTAAGGCTATGCAACTTAGCGCGGAAACCCCTAGACCCTGTAAAGAATTGAGAGATCCAGTAGTCCAGGAGAACCCATTTCACTTCCAACGGCTTCGGATAATGGAGAAATATTTCCTTAAGTTAGCTCCTTTCGTGGTTGTCACCCACTGTCGATTCATCTCATCTATACTATCCTTCCGGATGATCTTCCATTTCCTTGGGTCATTAACAATTCTTACCCGTATACACTAGTGACTAGTAGCGAAACCTCTTCACTATTGCTTTCATACTCCGTTACAATCGATACAAACCTTATCACTGGTTCAAATGGATTGTATGTTTATCCCCTTAGTAACAATGCGGAATTGCAATGATTCAATTATTGCTAATTCAATCAGATTTTTTTAATATCGTGTTTTCCTTAATGTTATGTGATTTTCCAACATTTGGGATTTATCATAATTATAAATCACAGATTTTTTTTTAGAAATCTCTGCTCTATCAGGTGATAGCTGTTAGAAAATACATTCTTTTTCCTCAATTCAATGTCTTGTGCACGCCACGCAGAATTCTGTGGACTGAGTAGCAATAACAACCCAAGGCTTTCAGCAGGTTTTAATAATCAATGTCATTCATTATTTCGAACATTCATCTAAATAATCGGTCAAATTTGATACAATATTTATCGTAAGGAAAAGGATATTTGATGCATTTCACAATGATAATGTGCAACTTTAGTACCTGATCTGTTTGATGGGCCGTGTCTTAGGTTAGTTGACTAAAATATAAAATGTCTTCAGAATAAAAAATATTAATTCGCAGTTGTATGCATGAAGAAAGAATGTTCGTCCTGTTTGCAGTCCAATTCTTTATCTTTTTTTTCCCTTAACACCCTGTCTCACTTTGCTGGCCCACGGGAAGAAATGGGACTGAGATGTTCTGTAGGTAAAGCCAAACACAGGCGTATCTACGGGGGGAGGGCTTTCGAGCTGAAGCCTCCCTCCAAAAAATGGTAAAATATAACCATGTTCTACAGAAAAAAATATTAAAAACTATCTCTTAAAGTATTCTTGTTCGTGTAATTATATTTAATAGGACTTCAAGAACCACTTAAACGCCACATTTCATATAGGTAATTAATTTCTTTAATTTTTTTTTCAAATTTATTATCGTAATATGTATATGAAAAAAAAAATATTTCGGGCTGAAGCCACCCTCCCTCCCAAAAATTAAATCCTGGATCCGCTATTGCAGCCAAACCTATTTTAACCAGAGAGGGGAGGTTAAGATTCATTCCATGAGCCCACCGCAAAATAAATTCTGTAGTCCAATCCATGTGATGGTCATATCCATGATTGGTGATACAACTATCTTAATTCGATTTTAATGAAATTTTTAATTGTGGGGATTGCAACCTAGATGGTCCCATTCCAACCTCATTAACTTCATTCCACTACTTTCGCTTTCGCTTGCACAAATATATATTATTTATACACACCTTTTTTTTTTAAACTTTTATTATGATATTTACAACTGTATTAGTTTTATACACACTTAAATTTCGAAAACGTTCGTTCGATTTTACTGCTACGTTAGAGAAAAGTTACAAAGGGTTATTAACATAAAAAATACAATTTCACCAAATCTCATTCACTATTTTCGCGTATGTATATTTCTTTTTTTCGCTTTTGTTTCAACAACAATTCGTTCTATTTTGTTCCAAAGTTGTATGAAACAGATCCAACTTGGCTTTTAAAGGATCTGCAGTTATATTTTTATTGGTACGTCAATATTTAAAAAACAATTAGTTCGAATTGACCTAGTTTTCGTAGGAAATTAGAGTTTAATAAAAAATGATCCTGTATCAATTTTATAAAATTTTGTCCTATACTTACATTTACGGATGCCCAAATGAATTTTCCTTTATATATAAATATTTTAAAATAGGCTCTGTCAATTTGGCTTAAAGTTGAAGCCAAGCTGAGAAAATGTGTATAAATGGTCATCTATCAATTTCATCATTTGGTGTTGGACAGAGTTTACCAACTTATGGCCCATGAAAGGATTTTATTTTTATTACATGGTTAAATTTTACAAACTGTTTAAAAATGTGAAATTTAGCAAATTATTCTCACATGAGGTCACTAAAACATTTATTGCATGTTTTTTTTTTCTTTTAGAAAGCTCATTTTACAGCATCAATTGTCATTTATAGAACTTTTTTTTTATCACAAGATATGTCCTGTTGGGCTCGGTTGGAAGTTTCAATGCAGCCCATGGGTGTCTTAAGTGAGGAACCTATACTTATTTACTTTGCAGACATTTTTGTTTCTTATAAGTATTTTCTTGTATTAGACCTTACCTCTAACTGTTCAGTCTTCACTGATAAGTACCCAAATGTATGTAAAGGACTCATTGGGATTTTGTGATGTTCTAAATAAACAACATGAGTCAATGAGAATTTAATGAGACTTAATTAAAGCTGAAATATCTAGAAAGAAAATGGTTAAGTTGCTGCAAGTCTTCTTTGTTTGATCTATAATCAGATGGTGATGGAGTACATGATTACTTGGTTTTTATAAATGTATACTAAATTGCTAAAGATGCTGTATAAACTCTTAATATTTTAAACTCAACAAAGACTTTTTTCAACAAATGAAATGATTGGTTCAGTTAATTTTACATTTGTGTTTCACTATTCCCATAATTTTTTTCATTTAACTTATGATGAAATTAAATATTTTTATTCCTTCTATAACTTCTATTTCTACTTCATCTGACAACTAATCAGGAACATCATAAACAAAGAGCTGTTGATCCTTTAATCTTGTCTGAAGTTGTACAAAATCAGTTTGCTTTTTTAAATTTTTTCACTTTATAATTTATTGGATATAGCATTCTACATGAAATAAATTATTATTTTTAGAAACATTAATACATTTTTTACAAAACAATTTCAGTTCATCAGAATGTTATTTATTTTGTTTATTTTTTTCAGATGAGGCGCAGTGTTGCTGATTGCATGACGCTTCCTTACCACGATGATTACTTCCTACTTCGCTGGCTGAGGGGTAAGATATTTTTCACTTTTTAACTTATTTTTCTTTAGTTTTATCTTCTAATGACCCTCAAATAGTTTCAGGATAAACAAAAAACACAAGTTCATTACAATACCAAAGTATTATTTTGACTATAATTAAATATTATACTAGGTCGACATACCCTCATAAATGAGAGAATTGTTTTCTTTGCTTACTCACTAAAACCATTAGAATTGAGATTATTTTTAAAATGTATTCTTAAAGATTATAGAAAGGGCTGATAGGGTGTGTATGGTACTTATAATATAATATTTATTTCCTATGGACTATTCATTCAAAGCCATGGATTGAATCTCAAGTTGGAAGACTCTACTATGGCACATCTAGTCTCAATAAAATGGACACCAGATCACTTTAGTGGGTAGAATGAAGCATAGCAGTTGATTTTCATTCTTCATTCTTCTTAGAATAAGTTTTGGCAGAAATATCACATGCTACATCTATCATTTATTTTCTCAATCCATTCCATTCCATCTGTCTTCCTTTTCTTGTTTAATGACTGGAAATAATAAAGATTATAAAAGATAAAGAAAATAAAGAAAAAACAGATAATAAATATAAAAAATAAAGATAATACTGATTTGAAACTATGTGGCTTTGAACCATTCCTCACTCAGCAGGTAGCAGGTTTTGGAAAGCTGTATGTTAAAAGGAATTAGCTCTTGAGAATGGCAGAAATCATTATTTTTGACTAGCTGAGAATCATGCATTACTATGTATATTAGTTCTAGCTTTTGCTTTATGCTCATAAATTCTAGTTGATAAATAAATCAAAATATTCACTAGTATTTAGGATGGTAGTTCTGTCTAACCTTATCGTTTTCTTAAATATAATCTATTAAAGTAATGAATATGCTGTGTTGTTTAGAAACTTAACATAGTTGAATGGCCTTACAATTGTATTTTACCTCTCTTCATATATTTTTAAAATGAAACATTGTATGCAACAAAATTACAGAATAAGCGAATAATATATTCATATTTTTCTTTTCCAGCAAGAAACTTTGATCCTGTAGCAGCTGAAAAGATGTTGAGGGCTGTAAGTAACCATAACCACCTGTTTCGTATTTTAAGAATATTCTACTCGGTGTACATAAAAGTGAATCTTATTAGCACAAACCTTTATAATCGTGGTCATGATAAAATTAATTATCGTATATCAATATTTTATTCAAACATCTGCAAAATTAATAACGTTAATATGTTTTTTTTTTTTCTTTAGTCCATGAAGTGGAGAGAATCATGGGGTGTAGAAACAATACAAGATTGGCCCACTCCAGAGGTGTTCAAACACTATTACCCATGTGGTGTATGTGGTTTTGACAAGGATGGATCCCCTGTGGTCATTATTCCCTTCTCTGGAGTGGATATCTGGGGTATGCTTCACTCAGCAACTAAGGCAGATTTCATCAAAACCGCTATCAAGTAATTATAAATTTTGACACTAGCTACTTATACTAATCTGTTTTTATTGATTATTTAATAGTTGACTGTTGCATTATAAAGGAAGGAGATGGTCCAGGGTGGTGGTCATAAATAGGCTGAGTTGTGGCAAAACTATTTATGACCGCCACATCGGACCATCTCCTTTCTTTAATATGTTTCTAATTATATTTTTTTAATGAAAATATAGAACCAATCCTATAGTACATTCAGGTAAAAAGATTGTATACAAGATTCTACAAAAAGTGACGTTACCTGATTCCTAACCTGAAATTTAATTTCTAGAGTAATCAAACTTTTGCTTCATAACTTATGACCAATCAAAAACTAAAGTCACTTCATAAGATGGTTCAAAATACAATTTTATTTAAAATGTTGCACACTTGGTTATAACCTTTTTTTTTATATATATCTGGATAAATACCAATTTAGACTAAAGTAGTGTTAATAAGAAAGTATATAACGTTAAAAAGAAAAAAAAAATGGCAGCTTGTCAAAAAGCTTGGACAAGAACTAAAAAAGGAATAAAATATTTTAAACACCTCTAAAAAACAATGCACATGAGTACAGTTTAGTAATAAAAAAATAAATTGACATATTTTTCCTTTTTTTCATCTAATAGGATGTAAACACAAGATATAAAGCTGCAAACCAATTAAGAAATAAATCAGTAAATTATTAAAAACGATTTACCTCTTTTAATATATTTTCATTTAAATAAGGTTATAAATATTTATAATTCAAATGAGATTTTAGTAAATAATTTAAAAAGGAAAACTTGTGCTAAAGTTAAAACTATGTCATTTTGAGCTACTTTAAAAACTGGATCTATCTTCCTTTTTTACAGGACCTTGGAAAAAACTCTAGAAATAGCGAGGGAGAAATCTGAAATACACAATACATATGAGTCTACAAAACTTGTAGGAATACTAGATATGTCAGAGTTCAATCTAAAACAATTTGCATGGAGACCAGGTAAAAAAAAGTTAATATACCATGATATATATTGAGTTGGCAAATAAGTCCTTTCGGTTTTTCTGTTTAGTTTTAAGTCACTATGATATACTTCTTACCTGATGAATTAATCTCTAAGGTGGATTGTTTATCCTATTTGTAATAGGTCAACAGCTATATCTGTTAACACTTGTTGAAACTAGCTTAGTATTGTGATTGCTGTTGCTCTGTGAACATGGAAGAAATAATGCTCAACAGTCTGATCACCCACATGAAATCGAAACAAGCAATGTTAAGGCCATTGTTGATCAAAATCCCACCCAATCAGTGCGAGAGATTGCTATGGTCCTAAATGTGTAGCACGCAAGCTTAGAAAACCATTTTCACAAGCTCGGCTATGTTTCCAGGCTTAATATTTGGGTACCTCACTCTTGAAGTAAATTTTCAACAATCATTTTTGTTTGATTCACTACTGAAACGGCAGCAAAACGACCCTGTTTTGAAAGGGTTGGTAACAAGAGATGAAAAATGGATATTTTACGGTAATGTAGTCCATAGAAAATCTTGGGAACCTAGTAGTGAGGCTCCTTGAAAAATGTCAAAATCTGGATTGCATCCAAAGAAGATAATGCTTTCCATATGGTGAGATTTCAAGGGTGTTATTTTCTATGAGCTATTGCCATCAGAACAAACAATTGATTCAACTCTTTACTGCTCACAATTAACAAAATTGGATTAATCAATTAAAAACAAACGCCCAGAACTGGCAAATCGGAAGGGTGTTGTGTTCCACCAAGACAACGTTAGGCCCCACACCTCATTGGTCACTCACGAAATTATTGAGCCTTGGATGGTACCTTTTGTCCCACTCTGCCTATTCATCAGACTTAGCTCCAAGTGGTTACCACTTATTCCGGTCTCTACAGAACTCCATGAATGGAAAGAAATTCCAAAAGGAAGAAGACATCAAAACCACTTGGATCAGTTTTTTAACAATAAACTCCAGACATTCTATGAGCATAGCACTATGCAGTTAGTGGAAAGATGGGAATCTCATATTAAATAATTGTCAATATATTGCAGATTAAAATAAATTTTATTACAATAAAATATTGAGTTTTATTTCACCCTGAAAAACAGAAAGCACTCATTTATTTGCCAACTCAATATATATGTATATTCAATATTCTGAATAAGTGTATATAAATTCAATTATTTCTAGTGTTTTAATTTTTTGTTTAAAAAGGTAAGTATTGATAATTTCATCATATAAATAACTCAGTAAAAAAATGTTTATCATATTTTTTTGTAGGTCATTTTAACTGTTATTTTTTTTCAGCTGCTGAGGCGGTAATCAGTTTAATACAGATATATGAAGCAAATTATCCTGAAATACTCAAAGCTTGTTACATTATTAATGGTAAGTGCAAAAATAATAATAAAATAAAATAATCAGTTTAACATCGACGATTAATAAAAAAACTCATTCCTATATTTGAACTTCTGAGGATTCAGTTCATTTTTTACCAAATTAAAGTTATTATAAATTCTTTTCCTTGGGGTAAGATGCATGTGTTTAAAAAACAGTGAGGAGAGAAACATCTGTTCAAATACCTCATCTGTAAAATCAGGAAATAGAGTTTAGCTATGGTGACACCAAGAGCCTCGAAGTATCATTTTGGATAGACTCAGTTTTTAAATGAGGAAGGGGTTCAAATAGTTTTGGTGGTAAGAGATATTTTTAGGTGTAAACATCATAGATGGGAGAAACCCTTACTTTAAATGATTTTATTACTTTAAGTTTTCTTTAAATTGTTTCAAACATATCATGACCATAAACTACTTTGTTAATAATATAAAATCATTAAACTAAAGAACCTTTCAAAATTATTTTTTAAAGTAGTCCTGTTGTTTTTCCGAATAAATTTTGGTTGATTTATAGATAATCAAATGCACTTGTTCATATACTTATAATACAAATGAAATAGGCTAGTTTTAAACAGATTGGAATTAATAAGATAAAGAGAGACCAAATATTAAAATTAGGGTATTAACGGAGAAGCATTTTTAAAATTGTGTTATTATAAATTAAAGATTTATATACGCCTATAGATTAATTATGGCAGTAGCTTAGCTTCCAGAAAGGTTTAAGTTGAAAAAAAAATATTTTAAACTTGATATTCATCACTCTGAATAACACCAATAACTTATTAACTTTATTCCAGAATACTAATCTTTCTTCAAATTTTCTTCCAGTTCCTAAAGTATTTTCACTGGCGTTTTCTGTAGTGAAAAACTTTCTTAATGACTATACACTGAGTAAGATAAGGATTTTTAAAAGTGATCCAAATAAATGGAAACCCGTGCTCCTAAGCCACATACCTCCAGACCAACTGCCCGTGATTTATGGAGGCACTATGTGCGATCCAGATGGGAATCCTCGCTGCCCATCAAAGGTTAGATCACATTTATTTTTCAAGTAGAAAATAATATAAATATTAATAAATAAATATATTTTGGATTTAATTTTAAAGAATAGGATTTTTAAAAGTATTTGTGTATTCTGCCAGATCCATATGGTTTTCATGTTTTCTCAAAAACAGAATTTAAATTATTGGTTAAAAAAAAATCTATTGACTCATGTCTGATGAAATGTTTGCAATATTCCTGTTAAAACATTTTTTTTCATCTAATAGTGATTCTACTGTTCATTAAAAATTCTTATTTCTTAACTTTGCTTATCTAAAGTTATTAAAAGGTTTACCAAAAGATAATGAAGAAAGTCATCATATATTATTTCATTAATAATCACAATAATAACAACACTAAGCTATTGTTATTCTTATCTTACAGACTGAAAGACCATTTCTTTTTCATCTAATAAAAAATAAATTATTTTAATTTACTTTATAACTATCATAAATATATCACAGAATATATTAATTTGAACCTTTTGCTAACAAATACAGGTGAATCAAGGAGGCAAAATACCAAAATCATTCTATATTAAAAACCAGAATGAAAAAGATAAGAATGAAGAATATTCTTCTGTAACTGTAAAAAAAGGAGACAAATTACGCTTGGACTACAGTGTTCCAGAAGGTGGTTCTTTCTTGAAGTAAGTATGGCATTACTAAGATATTTTAATATAATAATAATGATGTGTAAAAATAATATTATGTAAGGATTATATCCAGCACCAGGGTGCTCCTCGGCCCAAGTTTTGCACCTCTTCTTCATATCGCAGGGAGGAAGGTAGTCCAGCAATTTTCTTCAAGAAAAAGATCTTAATAACAATTTTAATTTTACCACATACTGTAAAATGGAACTATTTATAAAAATAATTTTTAAAAATCAAATTTGTGTATTTAGGGTGTATTAAGTAAATTAATAAGGAATAGGACTTCGACTGTCCTCTTTCAAATATTTTAAATATCATACATGTTGAATGAAAACTTTTCTTAATTCATCATTAACATTTTCTTTGTTATTTAAACAAATATTTTTTTTTTAGTTGGCATTGGTATTGTGAGCCCTTAAGCTGTTAAATTCAATCTCTTAACATTTTTGATTAATTAAGCTTAATCATAATTTAGTTTTGATTTTTTTATGTAACTAGAAAGCTATTTATAGTGGATCTAAGATGAGTGTGCGTGTAGAGGAAAGAAGCTAGCGCAGCCTTCCCCCATTCAAGTTTCACCTCCCCAATTTCGTTTTTGGTCTGAGAGTGGATAGTTTTCCCTCTACCCAGTTTATTTGAAGTAGTAAAAAAAAATAGGTAAAATTAATGATAAGAAAATTGATTAAAGAAATTTCTAGTCATAAAAAAAATTGTAGAAGTATGCGCGAATGGGTTGAAGAAGACTGGGGAATCGACGAGAAAATGTTTGTCACTCCCCCTCTACTCACTAGTGAACACATCTTAGATCCACTATACCAGAATATAGTAAAACTTATGATGGATGATGGTGAAAATATTTTCCAAAACATTAATATATAAACATTACAAAGATGAAATAAATCTAAAGGAAGTTTACAATTACCAAATTGGCCAATCTAAAATAGGAATTTCTCTACGAATATAAATTACACAAAGAAGAAATCATTTTATTTATTTATTTATTTATTTTTTGGATAGGAAAGTAAACCATCTGATAGATCTAAATAAATTAAGTTTACTAAAAAAAGTAAAAAAATCTATATTTTAAAATATGTCTACTAACAAAATGGGATAATTTCATTTTCATTATTTGGCAAAAATGAATATTTATATTTGCTCGAAAGTTATTTTGCACTGTCAACAAAAAGCTACAAAGAGGACAAAACAACATAGCAGAAATTCTACCAGTGACAAATATTTTAAATGATTTTATAAGTGTTTTTCTTTGTCGAACTTTAGAATAAAAAGTATCCCTTTTTGTAATTATCTGTATTTGAATTTAAGTATTGACATTTGTCACTTATCTTTGAAACTCCCTTTCATTTGTTTGACACCTCCTTTTTTTAAAATCCATTGTTTCTGGAAGAGAAAAAAATGATCTAAACTACTAAATTATATAAGTAGTTTCTTTATAAAAGAAAAGCAGTTGATAATAATATATTATAAAAAGAATTTTCTCTAGAAAGATTGAAAGAAATAACAAATGGTTTAGTTTCTTAATAATAAATTCTTTTCTTTACAGATGGGGATTTTATTCAGATGAGCATGACATCAAATTTGGAGTATTAGTAAAGGATGATAAAGGTAAAGAAACATCTATCATTCCTGTTCATCGAGTAACATGTAATGAAACTGAAGAAATTGGAGTTGTGTCATGCCCCAAACCCGCAACATGTAAGTAAAACTTTAAATAATGATGTAGAGATGGTTGACCGTTGATATAATATGAGGAGTTAATTGGGGGGTGCGGTCAAATAAATACTAAATTAAAATATAGTAATTATTTAATCATAATTTATCATATGTCTATTTTAGGCCAAAGGTCACCAAAAAAACACAGTTTTTTATCTCCTGTATGCTTTATTCAACGTTTCGGCTTCAGGAGCCATTTTCAAGAACCTGCAAAACTAATTTTAATTTATTTTTTACCATTTAAATACAACCTCAGACACATACAGACTTTGGCCTAAAATAGACATATGATAAATTATGAGAAAATGGCACCAAACCTGAAGGATGTGACTAGTAATTATTTAATTTTTTGCCGACGTTTTGACCCACTTTGCAGGTCGTCTTCAGGGCAACAAAAGATACAAAACACGTTGAAAATACAATATGTTACAAAACATGTTTAGTATCTTTTGTAGCCCTGAAGACGACCTGCAAAGTGGGTCGAAACGTCGGCAAAAAATTAAATAATTACTATATTTTAATTTAATATTTATTTGACCGCACCCCCCAATTAATTCCTTCTCAAAACTTTAAAAACCAAACAATTTCTTTAAGTGGTCTGTAAGAAGGGTTGCGTCAATGCTTAGATTTCTTTACTAGTTCAATTATCAAGTACTGTTGCTGATCTTTAATTATCTTATCTATCTTTATATATGGCGAATCTTTTATTAATCAGAAATCTGATGATGCCTTAAGTCTATCAGACGATCCTCGACTGACAAGAACATATTCTTATAAAGGCCTGTGATAATGAAGCAAAGTTTATTGCTTGAAGATAAAGTAAAGGGAATAAGGAAGTATATCAAAAAGTAGGAAGATAAAGATGTATTTTATGGGAACTCCACTAAATAAATTGAAACCCAGCCAAGCCGGATTTGATCGTCACTGCTTGACTTGAGGTTGCAAAGGCTAAGATGCCTTAACACTATTGGGCTAAAGAATTTGCTAATCGTACTTTGTAATCATGGTTTCAAAGTATTCTGTCTCCTTTCAAATAATTTTAAAATTATAAATCTACTGTAACTCTTGAAAGATTAAATTTTCTACATAGCTAAACAAAAAGAAAACAAACTTAATCGGACTAACATTAATGAAGATAAGCAAATATTTTTTTTTATGGAGTTACCAACAATGAGTCTTGTGAATGGATATAGATTTTATTTTTTACAATTGCATTTTTTTTTTTAGTAAAAATAAGATACAAAAATAAATTATTAAAAATCAATTTTTAAAACATTCATTATATATATGGTAATATTTTTTCCATAAACCAGCGCTTCTGAAAGCCAATGTCACAACAATTTTTGTTATCACTACAATTTATCAAGTAACTTCTATTCAAAATTCTTTATTTTACAGATACTGTTATTTTTGATAATAGCTACAGCTATTTAAGAAACAAGAAACTACATTACACCATAAATGTCGTACCACCAATCAATGGATCAACTGATGTCGCAGTCATTGATAGTGAAGAATAAACTATTTGAGGTCACAATTGGAAACATCAGATTATAATGTTTGTTTAATATCTATCATAAATATTTGGAATGGATAATGTAATCTACCAATATTATTTTAAGACTATTTTTAGATATAGCAAGTCTAAGGCTGTGATATTATCCTACTACTCATTTATAACATTTTATGTAATTCTTCTTTCTTCAATCATCTTGGAAGTAGTTATAATAGACTCTACTCGTTAATAACTGTTACATACCATTGTTTACATATTAAGATGTATAAATATTATTATTCATTATATGTACTATGTTATTAAATGTATTATTTATGAATGGTATAAATTTTTAATCTTTTCCTTGCGAGGAAGGGTGAATTATAAAGCAAATCACATGACTATGGTCTGAGAGGAGATGGGCTAGAAGACAAGGACATAGCAAATGTTACTAACTCAAATTGAATCAACTACTTGTCTACATCTCAACTAACATAATTGAAGTCACTTTTTAGACATTTTAATAGCTGAACAGAGAGCGCCCAGGAAACTGAAATATGAAACCCAGCCAGTCATTCTTAACAATGAATAAATGCTGATTTATAAGATGTTGAGGGTCCATGGGGTTTATATATTACAAAATTATTTGACTTTATATATTTCTTCTACATCCTATCTAAAGATTTTTTTTTTGTTAAATAAGACTAATTTTATGTAAGCATTAAAATCAGGAATTAATAAAAAAATAGTCTGAGATAGCAAAGCTATGTATAAATATATGTTAGATCTCTTCATTTCATTGTAGGAAGACTCTGTAAACTTTTTGTAAAGTTACTATTTCAATATACGTATGTTGTCTATGGAATTTTATTTATTCAACCCAATAAAAAGAAACAAATTAAAATGCACGTACCATCATCGGATTGAATTATTTTTATAAATGGTTAAAGAGAAATGTTTGAAAGTAATGTACAGGAATTTGAAATAAAAAATATATATTTAATACAGATAGCAATACATAAATATATATTTGATGTTTAATATCATTTATATTATTACTCAAATGTAGACAATCACATGCTTATATATTTCAAAACATAATATACATATTTGTGAAAAATTAATGAGATATTTCAACGAATAGTTAACAATCTCTAACATTATTGTCTTTTAGAGATACAATAAAAAATATCATATTAAATTTAAAATAATTTAATTTTACAAAATATATTTTATTTTTTAATATCAATATTATGAGATGTTTATTGGGTTTAATACACTTATGCACTCCAGGAAGGGTTCATTGGCAGATGCAATGCAGAGATTTTCAGAACATATTTACGTTAACAAGTTGGAAGCTAAAGGTTGCTCATTGCAGGCATCATCTCTTCAGGTATAGAAGATAAATGTTTTCAAAACATTTTAGAAATATTTCTTTACATAATTGATTACACATTCTTATATATAATTAATGTATATAAACAGTTTTGGATTTACTGAAATTCAGTTGACAGAGCAATATTTCACTCTTAGCTGTTTAATTGAATATTGTAATTACCAACACAAGAGCTGTCGATATAAAAAAAGAAATAATCTTTTTTTAAATTTAAAAATATTTAATCATAAAAAGTAAAAACTTGTTATATTTTTTCAAAGACATTTTGATTTAAACAACTGTGTTTAGCTAGACTTTCAAAACATCAGAAAAAAATGAATCCAATTTATGTAAATCCATGCAATCTCTTTCTACCAACCGCTTTTGAAGAGAAGGATTAAACAAGGTTGGAACCTTTAGAAGATTAACTGATGCATCACTTCTGAACTTACAGTCTGGTGCTCTGAATCTAGAAAAAAACATTTATTACGTAAATGTTATAAATATTATATTCAATGTACAAGAATGAATTGAATATGTTTTTTCCTAAGAAGTAAATCATAATTCTGCTATTATGTTGTTATTATTATATATGTTATATTAGTAATTGAAAAATGAATATCCTAGGAATATATATATATATATATATATATATATATATATATATTATATATATATATATATATATATATAATATTCTCTGTGGGTTAAGGAGCTTGCAATAGGTAACCAAGTTAAGCAACATCAAGCTTGATTAGCATTTGGATGGGTGACCGCCCACCAGGGAAAGACACGCTGCCCGAAATCCCCCCCAGGTATGTGAGTTTAGGAGACCACATCTCGCGGACAAAGATCTTCATGGTCTGTAGCGCCAATCGAAAAAAAAAAAAAAATCAAAACTTTATAATACCTGTTTTTTATTTTTTGTTTTTTTCACCTACGGCTTCATAGCCAATCCGTTTGGGATCAATATGGCAGTGTCCTTCCAACTGACTCGCTTGGGTTCAAGGACAGTTACAAATCGGTCTAGATCTATGGATTATAGCTGCTCAGAGTCAGCAGTTGGACAATGACCTATATTTCATTCCCCGAAACAGACCCTCCATGGATCAAACCTCATGAGGCTACCCACGTCCTTATAATCCATACACCGATTTAAGTACATGGGGTCCTACACCCAGTCCTACACCCGGTAGGTGTGAGTTGCCTCCAGTGGACTGACAGAACTCACATGCCTGTGAAGAGTATGGCTTTTCCGGGTGGAAGATTATCTATCCAATTTTTAACCACACTGGGCATTGCTTAACTTTGATTACCTATTGCAAGTGTCTAAACCTGCTTGCACCCGATCTCCATATATATATGTTAATTAGAAGTGGTCTTCCAATAAACATATTATCTTGTCATAAATAGATTCATAAAACAAAATATTGTGAATGCAAAAACAATCATTAAAGTGAAAAAAGATCTTCAATATAAAAACATAAGGAATATTTTTCAATCATCAAAGTGGATGATTTGCCAAAAAATTCTGATGAAATTTCAACAGTAATAATAATAATAAGTAAATTATATAAATCTTAAAAAAAAAAAAAAAAGGAAAAAGTATAAGAGATGTATATACAAACATTTATAAATTAAAAATAGAAAAAAATGAGTAAGTGTATGGACATGTAATGATTTAAAAGTGGAAAGAAGAAATTTCAGATTTCTTTACTGGAAGAAAGAATAAAATTTCAGAGTGACAAGAATTGTATATGAATGATATATGAAATACTACCGTACAATAGACGGTGGTTATACGTATATCTAATAAGGGGATTTAAATAGGGAAAAATTGGAGATATGTGCTGAACAGCAGAGTAGGATTTGATAATTTGATATGTGAAGGATGCCAGAAAACACTAATGACAGTAGAAATGGTAAAGCCACTCAACTCTTCATAAAATCATGAGATAGAGGCATCTCTTGGAATCTCAAAGATAAATCACACAAAACAATTGGCAAGTCATTTTAGTAAAGAAATTATCAGAAAATAATATAAAAAGAAAGAAAAAAAAATATCAGAGCAGTTAAATGAAAATAATTCATTATTTTTAAATTTAATCAAATATTTAATTAATAGAATGATGCTAAAATGACTGTATCAATTTTTCATCTCCATAAGCAAAATTTGGAAATCATCAATATCAGATTTATTACTTTTTTCTTGCTACTGGTACTTGTGTTTTGAAGCCCAAAAATGTACTATTTTTGAGAAAATGTAAGGTAAAGGATTTACAAACAGACTCATGTTAATTATAGTGCTACCATGGGATATGTCTCCTGCCATCGACTAATAATAAAAATAGGCTCCTTTGAACAAGAGAGAAGTGTAAGTGTAATAAGAATAATAAATTCTCAAGCATTTTTTTGTTGGCCCCCATATCTTCGATAATTCTTCATAAACTCCAATGATTGTGCCATTGGTGGTCCAATGATTTCCTTCTCCTTCAGGTGAAAAAAATAGTCACACAATCCGAAATTTCAGGCAAAAATTTATGACGGAAAAAAACTTTATTTGCGAATAACTAAAAAAAAATGTTTATTTTTAATGGATTACGATAAAAACTGCTTATTGTAATTTGTAAAGATGTTAGTTTAAAACAATAATGAAAGAGTTTTAAATTAATTTTTATGTTCTCGGTCAATTAAAATTACCGGAGAAAAGAAGAATAAATGATGTTATGATCTCCATATTATGATAGGTTTCATTATTTTCTTGCCATTTGGTCACTGACTGATATTATTCTTACAAGCAAACTAGTTTAAATAAAAATTTCATACTTACTCTTCACGATCAACTTCAACGCAGACAACATGTATATTTTCTGATAATTTTAAAGAATTCAAATAATCCTTTATAACTGGTTCACCTGAAACAAATTAAAATTATAATTCAGTTACATACTTAAATTGTTTCACATTCATTATAACATTACTGATGTAACAGAGATGCCATTAAATAAATGAACAAGAATGAAACACAAAAAATAAAGTATAATACAACAATAAAATAACTAGCACTGAAATTAAAAAATAACCACTCACATTTTATTAAAGAGGTGATATATTTATTTGATTATTGATAGAGTAGAGTGGTGATGATGTGGACTAATATTAATCAATCTTATTTTTATCTATGAAGAAGTATAGTCAGGATTTTCAGTCAGTTTTTTTATTCTAGTTTCCAATTTTATGTGAGTCATCGTTAGGAAAGAGGTTTCCATCAACTGTAGCATCAAGAATTGAGCAGGGTGGTGTAAAATAATAAATGATCTAAAAAAATTTTGACTGAAAACATTGGCCATACATTTTACTAGATAATTTAAGAAACACAACAAAATCCATCACCCAATCTTTATTTTTTTTTATTTTTACAAAATCAGTATATGTTTGAAACATTTTCCTATATAAAAATGGCCTCAACCATTATCACCAGGATACCAAAAATATGCAATCTGATGTCGATAAAAATATAAGCCAAAGTTTATGACTTGAAATATAGATAACTAGGTAACTGAATATCAAGGATGTATTATTAGAGATATTATAGATTACACACGATGCCTGGATCTCTACATAGTGATGTTGTGAATTGGCCTTAATAGTACTTGAAATAGCAATCGAATGAAACACAAAAAAACATGAAAGAATTGGCTGGTAAAAGATATTGCTGCAGGAAAACAATGGAAATGTCAAAAAATATAAAAGGTAATACTGTCTATTGTCACTCCGCCTTTATTAGTGGCACAAGATCTCAAGATCACAACATAAATGGAATCCTGAAAATGTCAGAGTGTCTTCTGAGTTGAGTGAACCGTTTGGCAAAGCCCTGGTCCTATACTAAAAAAGACCCATTAGGTGTTTGATCATCTCTTTAGAACGAACATAGGAAGAAAGCAGCAATAAAATTTAAATCTAATTAATGCTGACTAATATAAATCGAAACCAATTTTACGTGAACAGGATCACAATAGAATTTGTAAATCGTGATATTACGTCTTACAAATTCTATTGTGGTCCTGTTCACTTAAAATTGGTTTCGATAAATAAAGTGTGATCCAGTTAAGACATTATCAATCCTCGGCAATTCTCATAATCCCATTTATACAGCAAACAAGGGATCTTTTACAATGATACCCCAATTTCAATCTTGCATTGACAATTATCATTCCTATATCTGGACTAGAACAATATCGGCAAATTAATCTTTATAACTATACTACTGCAGTTATTTTTAAATTAATTATTATTTATGACAAATTAGATGGTCATTCTTATTTACATTCATTCCAGGCATTTTTGATGGAGCTGAACTTTCAAGAACTTTTTTTAAATTTTTACTATTTTTATCTATGCCAAAACAGAGTAAGTGCACATAAATGACACTAACTCTAGAACCACCTATTACCCAGACTTGCACTAGTACAGCAGATTTTTTATAGATCATAAAAAGTCTATTTGAGCAGAAAACTATACAGGTAGTCTAAAATATTAACAATTTCAGGTCTTAACATATTCCCTTCGAACAATCCATGAACATATATGAAAAATAACTAAAAACCTGCATTACTTCTGTATTTACATATTAATTAATATAACAATGGATAACTATAGAATAAAACATTGTGTTCTAAATGTAAAAGAAAAAATATTCATGAGAAAAGAAGTATGTGGAAAAATAAGAGAATGTTAAGATAGAACCAGCTCTTGTTTTATAGAACAATCTAACTACTTAGTAAATAAAATATTTTAAAATATATAACATCGATTCGGGGTAGAACAGGTCACAATATAAATTAAAAATCAGACGATTTCAATAACAAGAAAGTTTAAATAATCACTTACTGTCACGACAATCTCCACACCAGCTCTGGCCATTAACTCTAGCTCCCATATACCAGCAATACACAGGTTCCTTCGAATTTTTCAAATTGCTGACTTTGCTCTGATAATCATCGTATCCTTTGACTTCGTGAATTTTCACTGACATTTCTTCAATATTATATACTTGAAGAACAGAATCTAACAGGTGAATGCCGACAGCATTGAAGAATTCATTTATCTTATCAACTGAGTCAAAACAAGGAGATTAGTAGAGGAGGTTACTCACTTGGAGTGCTAACATCTAGGGATGGGTCGGATTGTATGTATCAGATACTTTTATCTGATACTAAAAAAGTATCTGATACAACCAGTAGATACAACCAAAAAGTATCTGATACAAAAGTATCTGATGCTCACATGGATACAAAATGGTTGTCCAGACATGCCACATTGATATAAGAGAAATGTTTAGTTATAATTTTAGTTGTGCACAATTTTTTTAGAACTATCTATTCATTTAGTTTAATTTAATTAAATATTTATTTGTAGATAAATATATTCACGCTTATTTTTTTTTTTTTATGTAATGTTAATTTCAGATATTTTTATCTGATACTGCTATCGGATATTTTTATCTGATACTAGTATCAGATACTTTTATCTGATATTTGTATCAGATATTTTTATCTGATATTTGTATCGGATATTTTTATCTGATATTTGTATCGGATATTTTTATCTGATATCTGTATCAGATATTTTTATCTGATACCCGCATCGGATACTTTTATCTGATATTTTTATCTGATACCTGGACTAGATACCCAGCGGTATGCATACTGGCGCTTGGTATCTAGTCTAGTCTTGGGCTTATTAGTTAATATATAATAGTTCTAATGACTGTATAGTTATGTCAGGTACTAAGAAAATATTTACACAATTTTTTAAACAAAATATGCTTCATATTTGACAAAATTATGGAATATATTAAATAAAAATATAACAAATTCATGCAGAGGAAATATTTTCCTAATACAACGTTCTTAAGTATTTTGTAACAATTAAAAAAATTCTTTATAGTTAAGTTTAACATACACACACACATATATATTTATATATATATATATATATATATATATATATATATATATATTTTTTTTTTTTTTTTTTTTTTTTTTTTTTCTGTTTGTATTACAGACCATGTAGATGTTTTGCCACCTTAACAAGTATGCTCAATCTCTACCTCTCTTGGGCTATTTCTTTCCATTATCTGATATTTGTATCTGATATTTTTATCTGATACTCGCATCGGATACTTTTATCTGATATTTTTATCTGATACCTGGACTAGATACCCAGCGGTATGCATACTGGCACTTGGGCTTGATATCTCAATAATTGTATCAGATATTTTAATCCAACTGTAATTGATTATTGATCGGGTTTGATATTTTAAAACCTATTTGATACCTAATAAAACATATATTAAATATGTACCTATATATATTTTATTCCTTTATTATTAAATTTGTCCCTGTAATAAATATTTTACACCATTTTTAAATATAATAGTTCTAATGACTTTATAGTTATGTCAGATACTATGAAGATATTCACTATACGATAGCTAAGTTTAACATACTCACACACATATATTTCTTTTATTTTCACCGATCAATCTACATCTTGGGATTTAGATTATATAGGACTTGTATAATGCTTACAATACTATTATTGTATTCTTTGAACATATTAAATTACATATGTAAGTCATTTAAAGTAAATATTTATCCACTCTTTTAATATTATTTTTTTCATTAATACAATGTTATGACAACAAAAGTAATTTGTCGTTCATTTCAAATTTCAGTTAAAATTCCATAGTTTATTGTTTTTAGTAACTATCTTGCTGTATTGGGACCTTATTGCTCATATTATGTCTTTAATATATCAGTATAGTTATGTAAATCCTTCTGTTATTACTTATTTTTAAGTTTTTTTGTGTTTTTTTTTATTGTAATATGCATTTTGGCAAGTTGTTATGTTAATTTTTATGTACAATATTTTTATTCTCAAGGGACTTTGTCCCAGAATAAAGTTGATTCTTCTACTCTATTCTATTCTATATATATTTATTTTTTCTGTTTGCATTACAGACCATGTAGATCTTTTGCCACCTTAACAAGTATGCTCAATCTCTACCTGTCTTGGGCTATTTTTATTATAGTAGGCAAAAGACCACGTCGGAGGCCAAAAAGCAAATGGATAGATAGAATCAACAAAGATACAATAGAGCTGCGTGCAGATAAATGTCAAAAAATAGCCCAAGACAGGCAGAGATTGAGCATACTTGTTAAGGTGGCAAAAGATCTACATGGTCTTTAATGCAAACAGAAAAAATAAATAAATATATATAGAATAGAATAGAATAATCACCTTTATTCTGGGACAAAGTCCCTTGAGAATAACAATATTGTACATAAAGATTAACATAACAACTTGCCAAAATGCATATTACAATAAAAAAACAAAACAAAAAAAAAAAAACTAAAAAATAAGTAATAACAGAAGGATTTACATAACTATACTGATATATTAAAGACATAATATGAGCAATAAGGTCCCAATACAGCAAGATAGTTACTAAAAACAATAAACTATGGAATTTTAAATGAAATTTGAAATGAACGACAGATTACTTTTGTTGTCATACCATTGTATTAATGAAAAAAAAAATAATAAAAGAGTGGATTAATATTTACTTTAAATGATTTACAAAAGTAATTTAATATGTTCAAAGAATACAATAATAGTATTGTAAACATTATACAAGTCCTATATAATCTAAGTACCAAGATGTAGATTGATCAGTGAAAATAAAAAGTATATGTGTGTGTGTGAGCATGTTAAACGTAGCTATTAAGAATTTTTACAAAATTCTTAAGAACGTTGTATTAGGAACATTTTTTCTCTGCATGAATTTGTTATATTTTATTTAATATATTCCATTCTTTTGTCTAATATGAATCACATTTTGTTTAAAAAACTGTGTGAATATCTTCATAGTATCTGACATAACTATAAAGCCATTAGAACTATTATATATTAACTAATAAGCCCAAGACTAGACTAGATACCAAGCGCCAGTATGCATACCGCTGGGTATCTAGTCCAGGTATCAGATAAAAATATCAGATAAAAGTATCCGATGCGGGTATCAGATAAAAATATCTGATACAAATATCAGATAAAAATATCCGATACAAATATCAGATAAAAATATCTGATACAAATATCAGATAAAAGTATCTGATGCCAGTATCAGATAAAAATATCTGATACTAGTATCAGATACAAAGTAGTAGGAAGGTCATGACCAACTACTGACCCATTTGTATCAGATACAAAAGTATCAGATAAAAGTATCAGATACAAAAAAGTACCCGTATCAGTTGTATCTAGATACAAAAATTTTAGTATCAACCCATCCCTACTAACATCACGTTTGAAGTGCTGATTGTGAAACGAATGTCATTCAGTTAATATTTAACGATTAAAATATTTTTTTTATTTTTACAAGTAAATCGGATATTTTAAGTTGTAAAAAATACAGCGTTTAAACGTATTCTAATTTGTAGTTTTTTCTGCTTTTGACGTGTAAGAAATTTGGAATATAAATTGTAAGAAAATTATTTCAAAGAGTTCAACTGTTTAAGCCGAAAAATTATGTTTTTTATCAGCCCTTATATAACAATTAAAAAAACATATGACGAGAAATATCTGAGGACATTCATAAGTGAAATGACCATAGTAGATGTTTTCCTTGAGATATTTTACTTTTTCTTTCGTTATTAAAACTGAAAAAAAAAAAAAACAAATATACACACATATACACGGGCGGATCTACGGGGGGGGGGGCTTTCGGGCTGAAGCCCCCCCCCCCCAAAATGGAAAAATATAACCATGTTTTATGCAAAAAAATATTTAAAAATACCTCTTAAAGTATTATTGTTCGTGTAATTACATTTAAAAGTACTTAAGGAATAACTTAAACACCATTTCATATAGGTAGTTGGTTTCTTTCTGTTTTTCCAAAGTAATTATCGTTATTTTTATGAAAAAAAAAGGTTTCGGGCTGAAGCCCCCCCCAAAATTAAATCCTGGATCCGCTAGTGCACATATATATAATAACATCTCTGTCCTAGAAGATGTTACTAATCAGAGAAGATTGGGAAATATTGCTATTCTGTAGACGTAAATGCATTTGTTAGAAATCCCAACCACAATTCATGATTTAGTTCACGGTTGGTACTAACTTTATTCCAAATAAACGTGGTACAAAAGCTTTAACTATCAAACAAATTTGTCGAATAGACGCTTACGTAGCAATTACACAGTAACGACTCCGAGCTACATGTCCTGTCCATCTTAATTTCTTTTCCTTCATGTCATGAAATAATAATTGACTAGTTTCTATGAGCAGTTATTTATTGGTCCTTCCCCTCCGTCCGTTAGTAACTCTGATCCTAATAGATGTGAAGCCGAATATTTTCCTCTCAAATCATTCAATTCTTCTTGCTAGGGTTCAATTTTTCTAACAAGTTTTAGAAAGATAATCCTCAATTAGTAGTGTTGTTACTAAACTCATGTTTTGGCAGCTTCAGCCTGAAAGCTTTATATATATATATATATATATAAATATATATATATATATATATATATATATATATATATATATGCACATATTTAACGATAATTACTTTTGAAGAAACAGAAATAAACTAACTTACTGCATGAAATGTTGTTTAAGTGATTCTTGAAGCCCTATTAAAAAGTAATTACATGAACAATAATACTTTTAAAGACCATTTTCTAATATTTATTTCATTAGTCATATAGTTATAATAATAATAAAAAGCTTAGCGAACCAGGTTCGATGCCGATACCATCAATCGCTGTCTACACACCTTCCTCCATCGGTCGCCGTCCAAACCCAGTCCCTTCAAATTGACCTTAACGCAATCTTACCTTCGGACGTTTACCAGTCGGCATAAAAAATATTAACCTTTTAGGAATTCTTTCGTTACTAAGTCCAACAATTTTACAAGTCCATTTTATTCTCCACGATGTAATCACCTCAATTATATTAACCGGATACAATTCTTGCATTGTGGCGTTGAGTAACAGTCTGAACTCTCCGGTTTACTCATCCTTCGGTCCGAATATTCTACGCAATACTTTATTTTCAAAAACCTCGTTGCATATACCTTGATGTAAGCGGCCACGTTTCGCATACATAGAGAACCGTACGTACTTTATTGATAATGGTTCTATAGATGCTAATTTTTAAGTTCCTGGACAGGAGGCGCAAGATAAGTAATTTTGTCTCAGAAAAATAACAAGCATTTCACGCCTTCATTCTAACCTTAAACTCCTCTTCAATTTCGTTCTTTTTAGTTATCGTAGACCCTAGATACCTAAACTTCTCTACATGTTCAAATATATTACCTTCTATATAGATATCACCGAAATTATAGCCATTTTTGCAGCTAATCATATATATTGTCTTATTCGTGTTTATTTCTTTCTATCTCTCTCGCTCTCTCTCTCTCTCTCTCTCTCTATATATATATATATATATATATATATATATATATATATATATATCAATAGTGGATTAATTGAAAATATACGAAAATCAGACCGAAAGATTGTTCATGTCCTCTTGGCTAATGTTACAACATAAAAACTGGTTGATCGTCGAAATTTTATATTCATTTTAGGGAGAGGAGGTTTCAGCCCGAAAGCCCTTTTTCCCTTTCCCTCCACCATGGATCCACCTAAGCTAAGCCAAGTACATGTTTGGTTTCATCGAGAATTCACTTCATTCGGCCCTTAAGCCGATCGGACATGGTGCTGGCATATATTTCACAATCTTTATTACTATTGAAAAAACATGAAAAAAAGACTAATTAAGATTACTTTGAAGAATTAAAAAAGTTTCGACTTAATTAGAGTTTTACTATAAATTTCTTTATCGTGATCCAAATGAACGATAGTTTTTTATTAAAAGTTTCAAGAGCATTTATGCTTTCTTAGCGACTGAAATTTATTAAAATCTCATTACATTAATGAGTAGGATTTCAAATGGAAACTTGTACAATGATAAAATATTTGAGCTCTGACATAAAATGGTTTTAAAATATGCTATTAATAAAACGGTTGTTTTAATTGTTTAAATAAATCATCTGAAGTATTGTTTAGAGATACATTAGTTGAAATAGATGTAATTTATTACTGTAGCTATACATTGTCATTTATAAAATAATTACTAATTTTATATCAAGATGTGTGCGGATATAGAGTTAAAGAAATTCATTAATGCAGCTAAGAGAAATGTAGAGAATACTTTCGCAATGAGATCGAAGCACCCCACCCGTTACATCATTGCAAGCAGTGACCCAAGATTCCCTTATAGGGTCCTAGAAGACGGAAAAGATGTAACCCCTCTCCCACATTATATCGAAGGCGAGACTTATTTAAACGATGAAGAGTATATAAAATCGTGTAAACAAATAATCGATTTGAGCTGGGATGTATTCAACAAACCAGACGATTCTGACTATCCAGATACTCATGAAAACACTGAACCAATTATAAACGCAGTCAGGGGAATTGGTCTCATGCCGAGGTTGGATCTGTGGAATAATCCCGATGATGTGAAGGAGTGGGAGGAAAAGCGCCGTTTGGAGAGAATACCCTCCATGTATCGCCTCAGAGAGGATCCAAAAAAAGATATGGCTGAAACAACAACGGAATTTCCTGCAAGACTCGTAGAAACTCCATTGCTTCTGCTATTGGACCTGATGTCAGACCTTGCCCCAGTCGGTAGTGAGGAAGCGAAAGTTTTGATGCAAACTAATAAAAGAATGAAAGACAAAGAAATCAAGGATAAGTACGTAGTTGTAGAAAACTGGCATGACGATTTCTGTCAAACTGATGAACGTATTTTTAGAAATGAATCGACACAACTATCACGACCATTGAGAGCGAATGCTTCCGTAGAAGCGTATGATTCCGACAGAATTACAACGTATGTAGACTTAGGAGTATCGGACGCTTTTCCGAGAAAAACCAGCAGAATTGTTAGCATAGTCAGCCTAGAAATGAATAAAGATGATGAAACGGCGTTGCAGTTTTATGGACATGAAAAAAAAAAGCCGGAAGAGATCAAATGGTTAGAGTCTTTCGATTTTATGCACACCGCAGCAATAGTTGAAAGAATGCTGACGGCTAACTTATATTCTAACTTGCAATCTATGTACCAAGACAGGCTTTATTCTCCAAAGCCTGTCGACGATTTTAAATATATTCCACAGTTGTTATGGACTTGTTCATGTCCACGAACATATGGCAAGGCTGTGACGTCTATTTGTTGGAGTAGTGTCATTCCAGAAATTTTCGCAGTCAGTTATGGTAAGTATTTATTTGAGAGTAAAGTTAAAAATGGACTCGTATGTATCTGGAATATTAAAAATACGGAATTCCCGGAAAGGATGAGCATTTTACCATCTCCAGTCACATTTGTAGAGTTTTCTAAAAAATATCCAAGGATCGCTGCGATAGGTTTTTGGGATGGGACCGTCGGTATTTTGGATACAGTTTTAAGAGAACCCGAATTAATTGTAAAATGTGATTTCATTGTGGGATTGTTGCACCCAATCTGGCAGATAAGATGGTTCCCGTACCGTGATGAAGAAATTCTTCTGTCGTGTGGAGAAAATGGACAACTTCATCAATTTGAGCTTGATCGTAAGTTTCGGAACAAAAAGCTATTAACGGTTCGCAGGATAGGAAATACTGCAAGAAAAGGGATCGAAATGCCGCAGATAGACCCGTGCTACGAAAGGAGCAGCTTTAGCCCAGCAATCATGTTCATGGCTCAGTACCCTAATGATGAAAAGATATTCTTCCTCGGCACGGATCAGGGATACGTGCAGGTCCACACTCTATACAAACCTGATAACGCTATCGAAATTTTCGGAGCTCACGCAGGTCCTATAACCACGATCGAGTTCAATCCAGTTGATGGTAGGATATTTCTCACAGCAGGATGTGATTATTACATCAGGATCTGGGGCTACGGTATTTACGAAACTTATCTTCTCCAGCTCACTTACAGAAATTTGTATGTCGACTATGCTGCTTGGAGTCCTGCTCATCCCTACATGATTGTGAGTCTTTCTGGGTGCTTCATTGATGTTTGGAATTTGAAGAAAAAGTTTTTTGAACCTGTAACATCGATTGAAAACCCAAATCAAAACAGAAATCTCATTGTCAGCTTTAGTCCAACAGGAGCAAATTTTTTAGTCGGAGATATGAAAGGCTTTGTCTATGTTTACGGTATAACCTCGCTACCAAAGCCGCCCGAAGACCCTTTAAAGAAGTTGGCAGAAGCCATAATGTTTCCCATTAAGTATGATGAGGATCGTTTAAAGCTGATATCATTGAAACTAGGACCACCTTATTTACCTGACAGAGTCAAAGAAATATTTTCTACAAAGAAAAAACAGTTTAAGATATAGTAACTTTTTTTTTGTGTATAATCCTCTAGCATAGAATGGGTTCGATGACATTACGATTTAAAAAAAAAAATCACCAAATAAATTTAAAAAAAGGAAACCTTAGATTGGTAGGGTTAAATGAGATTTTTAAAATTATTTTTTGGTCATTTACTAATGATAAGGTAAACATTTTTTTTGTCCTTTTCCTTATTGGCATAAAGGAAGAAAGACAGAGAGAGAAAAGAAATAAGAACAAAGTAAGCGATTTAAATTAAAATCATATACTTATAAATGAAATGGTCACATCACACATGCTAAGGAACGTCAGCAGAAGGTTGAAGAGGAGTTGGATGAGGGACTTCCTCGCCTAAACAGTTAGGCGGGGGTGTCGCCTTCATGCGTCTCATGTCTTTATATTAAATGAACATATAATTCACCGATTATCATTACTAATATGATAGGTGAGAATAAACAAAAATACATATAGAATGAATTTAAAGGAAACAATAATAAAATAAATTAAGAACAGTGAGAGTAGAATGTTTCGGAATGTAGTTTTCAATCTTATTTTTATTGTTATGTTATGTTCTTACTTCAGCGGGTTACTAATGTTTTCCTTTTTTTTCACCTATTTACAGTTGTAAGCTTATTAATTTTGTAAATCGGAATAACTCCTTCTATATTTCTTATAAACAATTTTTTTTTTTTTTTTTATGCGAGCAGAGCATCAATTCAATCTTAATTAAGTATACTCTACATGTTCTAGTAAATAAAAGTTGGACAAAACGTGTTGGAATGTTAGGAGTATGCCCACCACAACAACAAGTATCTTTATATCTAAGATTTAAACGTCTCAAATAACAGGCCAACGAAGAAGAACCTTTTTCAATAATTTTACTTGATTATGTTATTTGAGGTGCCAATTCCGAAAAAAAAATGACAAGAACGTCGTATCACACATTAGAGAGAACTACAATAAAATCGTAAAGCTACTCAACAGCATTGAGTTGTTAACTGACACAGCATATTAATCTATCTGATTGACAATATCTAACAATTCAGCTTGATATACTTTGTAAATAAAAATGTCATTTGTTGTTTTATTTTTAAAAAAAGTTACAATTAGGAATGAAAAAGATTCTTTTTATTTATTTAAATAATTTTATCAATGACATAAAATAAAAATAATAAAATTATAAAAAATAATCAAATATTATTAGGTTGGTAGGTTTAACATAGTTTTACAGAAAAGTAAACATACAGCTCACGGTTGGATGCTATGTGGGGATTTAAAAGTTTTCTCCATGTTTCTTGGTCAACAAAAGCGATTTACAAAGTTTCCATGTATTATAAGTGAATGAGACAGAAGAGGAAGGAAACCTTATTTTACACATAAGGTTGGGTTCAAAGAAACAATTTGTAATATCCTGAAGATGATATTTGTGTAGACAATCCCTTCATTTATCAGAAGCTTAACTGAAAGAAGCGGCTTTCGTTCGGCCTGATATTCGTAAAATCTTGTTCGATTCCAGTTTTGACAGCAACGTTTATTATAAAGAAAAAGGTGACTTGGATATCATCAGAGAAGGTGTGATTAAGTTTTCGGGCTCTGTGAAAAAGCTACTATCTATGAGCTTATCGAAACAAAAATGATACACAAGTTCAAAACTCTTGGTTGTCTGATAAGCCTTTAAGTCCACTTCTTGCATAACCATCTTGACTTTTTCCCTTAAAACTTGGGTGATATGGGTGAAGAGCAGAGAGTGAAAAAAGAGTAAGTTTCATCAGGACATAATAAAATGGAGATACGTCACCAGAGAGGATCGAATTTCAACATGATGGGCGATTACAATTGGTCACTTCACAGAGAATAATAAAATGCACCTTATTGGAGAAAAAGCTATACATGAAATATTACAGAGAAAAGGGAAAGGAAATAAAAATACATAGCCACCTAAAATATTCACATTGTCGTAATTTAATATTATCCTAATGAAAAATTATAACTAAATAAACAAAACTATGATCTTTCATTTTTTTTTTTTTTTTTTTTTGTGTTAAACATTTCTCTCTTTTGAAATATATAATCGAAAATACATAAGATTTAGTTGATTTTATTTAAAAAGATTTTTATTGCAATATTTTTTTTTTCGTTTACCTGTATAATGTTTAGTTTATCCACGTCCGTTTAATAATTTTGCTACTTTATGATAATAATTTTGTTTTTGTATAAATAAAAAAATTAAGACAAACTTAGATTGAGCACGCAGAAAATAGTATTTATACAGGGTTATTCTGGGTTAAGTGGCAAAACTGAAAATATGAATTAAGAACAAAACAAAAAAAAAAATTCCTATGAAGGTATGTCCGCAAAAGCTTTGTTTAGGAGAAATTCACACTTAAAGATTCTCATGGTTATGAATTATTTACGTTATATTAAGTAATTTTTTTCCAAAATGGTTGTTATATTTTAATTTTTTTTAATATACTTTTACTGAAGATACTGTATATATACATTAATGTAATTTTTGGCCAGATATAGTTTTTATTTTTTTGTTAACAACTGTTATTTTCTATCTATCTATCTAAATAAATCGTATTTTAATGTTTCAACTACTTTATTAATTAAACGTATTAAACGCGCGAAATATTATGATATGGTCGCACTTCTTTCTTCATTTTGTAAAGGGGCAAAAAATACAGTCAGCACGTGGTATTTATACCAAATGTACCAGTTTCTCTAAGACGTTGAAACGTGGCGCTAAAGATAGACTTGTTTGAGAATGCTCTATTCGGAAATCGCCTGGCATATTCAGCATTAGCATTAGCATTGCAAAAACCGCATACATACACCATATCGGCATATTCATCATTAATATAAATGGAAGGCTTAGTGATGAGTACTCTGCGAAAGCCTCTTACAAACCGATAAATGTTATTGAGAGTTCCCAATGCTAATTCCAAATAGTATTAATCCTTATGTTGCCAATAGTTTTTATACAGTTAGGGATAAAATGCCATATTAGTATTCTATCTAATCCATCTCCTAAAAAAAGCGTTTGCGGAAATATCTTCACGTTGAACAACATTTAATATGAATGTTAATGTTTATATTTAATTAATAAATAAGTTAGAACAAATAAATATGTTTTATTTATTTAATATAACGTAAATAATTCACAACAACGAAAATCTAGGTTTGAATATCTCCTAAACAAAGCGTTTGCGGACATACCTTCAGAGATAATTTGTTTTATATATGATGTATATCTATTTCGGGTTAGATGGTTGCATACTTATGAAGGTGTATTACACACGACGACCTCCACTAAGGATCCAACGGAATCCGAGACCCGGCGACAGGAGTATATTTTGGAACGGAGATGAGGCTGGAACGTAGCTGGAGCTGGAGAGCCGCGAGCCCTCACGTCCGGCTAAATACCGCCTTCCCGGACATTAATAACCGCTCGCTCCACCCACGGCCTCTTTTCATTATTTCAAAATGATACCCGCAACGTGACTCAACTTCAATTTTGTTTACACAGAATCGGAAGAGGGATAATGGGGCAGTGGTGATCTATCGGACGTAGCGGCAACCATCGGTATTTTATAGTCCCCTCAGCTAAAAGTTCAGGAGGGGAAGGAATTCCAAATAGGCCGATATCTATATGGTTTTTTGTCTTTTACTTTGCTGAAAACTACAACAATGGAGTTCGTGCTTTATCATTACCAACGTATGAGTGGTTTAAGTGGATTAATCATTATTTTCAAAAATAAGAAGTCTTACTAGAATTATCGTGATAAATTCCTAAACCACCCTATGTTGCGTGGGTATCAATTCCAAATTGATAATTTAATAGATTAGAAAAAAAAACACTTTAATTTGGACAAAGTTGTACAGAAAAAAATTGTAGCGTTTTCAATCTGAAGATCGACAACTTTGCCTATTTAATTTGGCACTATATTAATTCTCTCAATTCTCTTATTCTCTTATTTACTTTATATATATAAATTAACATAATTATTTAATTGGGAATTAGGTCACTTAATAATTATTCAACTCACTACTAAATGTTCATTGCTCTTGTGTTTTTCGACGTTTCGATCCCGGTTTTTTTTTAATTTAAGTTAACAATGGGATCCTCTTCAATGTTTTAAAAATAGAACCTCGATACCTCAGAACAGGGACACACGGACAGCCTCAGCACCATCCAACATATTTATATTTATTTTTTATTTTAGTTATTTATATTTATTTCTCATTTTTATGTATATATTGTGTGAATGAATACTATAGCCCTAATGCCAATGCCCTTCAGTGTGGAAGACTGTATTAATAAAAAAAAAAATTAGGTACTAAAAACTCATGAATACCACCCATTTGCTTTCCATTCGAATGGTAATATAATATGATCTCAAAAGCAAAAAAAAAAAAAAAAAAAAAAAATGATAGCATACAACAATATTGGCTTATAAAACCTCGTTATTTTGACATTTTGGGAGTTGAGGTCACGCTAAAAGGACCAATGTTTTTGTAGGCCACCTTTTTTTCGACTTTGCGATTATATTACCTTACGATTCAAGTACAAAGGAAATGGTTATTCATGAGTTTTTACTACTTAATTAAATAGGTAACGTTTGGCGATCTCCATATTGAAAACACCCCAATAACAAGAATTTTAATGAAATTTTAATTTATTAATAAAATACGGTCTAAAAGTTTACGTAAACAATGGTTCGATTTTCAGCAGAATCGTAGGAGATTTACGTTTTGTACTTATTAAAGTAAGTTACCTTTTTTGTTGAATAGCAAGCGAAAACTGAAAAAAAAAGAAGTTCAATTTACATACTTGAGACTTTGACATGTAAAAGGTAGTAAGTCATGAGAAGGTAATTTTGCAGGACAAGAAAATAAACGTGTTGACGACTGAAAATTAAAATTTTATTTGAAAAATTTGTACTCATGTTGTTTCCAAAATTTATATAATTCGTGGACATCCCCAATTAAAGTTTTTTTTTTTAGACACTATAAAAATAAAAAATAAATAAATAAAAATAAGTAAACATCCAATTCAAATCGTGGGTGT